AAGCCGAAGATGTTTTTGAATTTTTTTATCGGTTGAAAGACATTTCATCAAAAGCCTGTCTCTTATACACATCTAGATGTGTATAAGAGACAGAGACTATAGTGCGTGTAGTGGACAATTCAAAGAAGAAGTTAAAAGAATTGCTTTGTTTTAATTGTGGTGAAAAGGGACACGTTTCAAAGAATTGCCAAAATAAAGAAAAGGGCAGAAAATGTTTTGAGTGTAACTCGGCCATATTGCAATATAAAGAAAACAAGTGACCCAGTCAGGAAAGTAAACACGATTCATGCAAAGAGCAATATAATGCATAAGACGGTAAACATTGGTGGTTGTAATTATTTGGCTCTGTTTGATACAGGCAGTAGTGCGAATATTATGAGCACTGAAATTTATAATAAATTAATCAATCCACGGTTGAACAGTTGCTCAGTACAATTGACAGGTTTTGGCAAATCAGCTAGTGTTAAGCCGTTTGGGCAATTAATGCAAACCATTGTAGTAGATAATGAAAAATTTTACTTACTTTTTTATGTTGTGCATGCAAATCACCTTGATGTAAGTGTAATAATAGGTGCGGATTTTTGTTTAAAGACCGAAATTTTAATAAATTCATCTGGTTTAAAGACAAGAAAACTTTTAGATACAAGTCAACATGAAGAACTGTCAGTGCTTAATATTGACGTGGGTGATAAGAATGAGTATATTAACATAGGCGATACGGTGAGTGCATCGGCCAAGCAGGAAGAGTTTGAACTTATTTCAAATTATAAACCCTTAAAGTCTAAAACAACAAACATTGAAATGCGTACTATTTTAAAAGACGATTTACCAATATTTTCGCGACCACGTAGAATGGCGTTATCTGAACAAGATATCGTTGACGATCAAATCGATGAGTGGCTAAAAAATAATATTATTGAAGAATCGAACTCTGAGTTTACTAGCCCGATAGTTCTTATTAAAAAACGTGACGGTTCTCCGCGACTTTGCGTAGACTTTCGCAAAATCAATAAGGTAATTGTTAAAGATCGTTTACCATTAATAGAAGACCAGTTAGACAGACTACAACAGGCAAGAGTTTTTAGTACCATTGACCTCAAAAACGGGTTTTTCCACGTGCCTGTTGCAGAGTCAAGCCGAAAGTATACGTCGTTTGTTAYGCAAAACGGCCAATATCAATTTCTGAAGGTGCCGTTTGGGCTATCAAACTCTCCAGGCGTGTTTCAACGACATGTAAACGCTATTTTCAGGCATCTGTCGCCTAAAGGTATTGCTTTGCCTTACGTTGACGACCTTCTAAGGACGAAAAGGAAGCTGTACAAAATCTCAAAGAAGTCATCAACGTATGTAAAGACTATGGCTTAGAATTAAATTTGAAAAAATGTAGCCTTATAAAAACGCGAATACAGTTTCTTGGTCATATCATTGAGAATCAAAAACTGTATCCATCTACAGAGAAAATTGATGCAGTAATTAGGTTTAGAACTCCACAGACGTTGAAGCAGTTAGAAAGTTTTTTGGGCTTAACCGGATACTTCAGAAAGTTTATTCCAAACTACGCTGTAATTTCAAAGCCGTTGTCAAATTTAACTAAAAATAACGTAAAGTTTGTAATTGGTATACAAGAAGAAGCCGCAATCAATTTTCTGAAGAAACTTTTAACTGAGAATCCAGTACTAAACATATACAACCAATCGTACGAAACTGATTTCGATAGATGGATTCGGTGCAGTTTTATTGCAGAAATTACCAGACGACTCCCAGTTACACCCAGTATATTTTATGAGCAAAAAGACGACAGATACACAGCGAAAGTATACTAGCTAGAAATATCGGCGGTGATTGAAGCTCTGAAAAAATTTCGAGTTTACTTGTTGGGAACACATTTTAAGCTAGTCACCGACTGCAACGCTTTCACGAAAACCTTAGAGAAGCAGAATTTGTGTACGAGGGTGGCACGTTGGGTTCTTTTCTTACAAGAGTTCGACTATACGGTTGAGCATCGGGCTGGACGGCGTATGCAGCATATCGACACGCTCAGCAGATACCCGATATTGACGATAACTAAAGATGACGCTTGTTGTAGGGCACAAGCAAACGACGAAAAATTAAAAGCTATTAAAAAAATTATCAGTGATGACACAAAAACATACGAGAATTTTTTTCTTAGAGGTGATATTTTATACAAACTAGTAAACGACGTTGAGCTGCTAGTAGCTCCAAAAGCAATGCAAAGGCAGATCATTAGCAATGCGCACGACAGAGGYCATTTTGCGGCAAAGAAAACAAAAGAACTGATTTGTAGATCTTATTATATCTCACATTTGGAAGACAAGATTAAGCAGTACATCGAATGCTGCATACCCTGTATCATGARTAAYCGYAAACGAGGCAAAYAGGAAGGGTTTTTGCATCCGCTTCAAAAAGAAGACGTTCCATTATATACTTACTATATTGATTTCTTGGGTCCATTAAATTCAACACATAAAGACTACACATTTTAGCCGTTATAGACTCTTTTACTAAGTTTTGCTGCTTATATCCAACGAAGTCAGTTAATGGTCAAGTGGCTGTCTCTTATACACATCTAGATGTGTATAAGAGACAGGTMWTTATCTCAGTCCTCTCTAAGCTAAGCATCAACGATCCATCTAAATGGTATAAGCACGTTAGTAAAGTGCCTGTCTCTTATACACATCTAGATGTGTATAAGAGACAGGTMWTTATCTCAGTCCTCTCTAAGCTAAGCATCAACGATCCATCTAAATGGTATAAGCACGTTAGTAAAGTGCAGCTGGCGATCAACTCAACATTTTGCAGAAGCATAGACGCTACTCCTTTTGAATTATTGATTGGTACAAAGATGCGAACTTGAGAAGATATTCAGTTACGAGACTGTATCAGCAAAGAATTTTTAACCACGTTTTATGACAATCGAGATGACTTACGAGCAAAGGCAAAAACAACTATTTTGAAGGTACAAAACGAAAACAAGAAAACATATAATCTACGGCGTAAAGCAGCACGACAGTGTAAAATCGGAGAACATGTAGCTATAAAGAGAACGCAGTTTGGTAGTAACCTTAAGCTGAAGCCAAAATTTTTGGGTCCCCACTAAATTGTTAAGGTCAAGCACAATAATTCATATGACGTTCAGAAGATAAGCAGCGGTAATGGTCCAAAAAATACAACGACTTGCGTAGAATATATGAAACCCTGGTCCACGTCCAAAGACGACGCAGATAGCAACGAAGCATCCGAGACTGATACTTAGTCAAAATGGCCGAATGTGGGAATATATGGTGAATGGGCAGTAGAAAAAGACGAAGATTAGCGAAAACGGCAAGGAGAGATATAGTTGAACCGCGACAGCCAAAGTAAAGAGACGTGCCCACTGAGTCCCACAACTATTAATAAAACTGCACTTATTATATGAACATATTATTATATAAACAATAAACCTAAATCTATTTCATAAACAATAAACCTAAATCTATTTCATAAACAATAAACCTACATATATAGAACCCTTATCTATTTCGATTATTTTTAGGTGATACGTACAACGGTTAGGTGAACAAAACTATAATACGGTGTAGCAACAGGTTGCAAGAGTATAAAAATAATAACTCAGAGCTAATGCGGGAGTACACTAATACTAAAAATACTTGTAAAACTGCTACCAAATACGCAGTGAAATGGATCATAACTGACTCAGTAATCAGTAAATGAATAATATTGGGTAGTCGAAAAAGTCATTTCGTATTTTGTCAATATACATATGTCGATGCTATTGTGTCATGCTCTAAAGTGTTGAGAAGGTGAGATTTTAAGCTTCATTTAAGAAAAAAATAAATAAATTCGGGGAAGTTGAAAAATAAATTACAGCTAGCTACAGCGCTTTATTTTTTTATTTTTATAAATTTGTGAAGTGTACGGAGACGATGCTGCATCAGTTCGTGTACAACAATGGTTCGCTCGCTTTCGTTCTGGAAATTTCGAAATTTTGATTTACACTGATGAAAGTTTTACACTAATGAAATGTCTCTAGCGGAAAAATTGGAAAAAGTAGTCGACTAAAATGATCTATATTTGTTTATTTATTTATTAGTTTAGATATAAAAAAAAAAAACCAAAATTTAAGTTTGATTAGAAATACGAAAATACTTTTTCGGCTACCCAATATACCACGAGCATCCAAAAAGACTGCTGTCATAATCTTGCCACACTTCATTTTTGTCTTTCCACACTTGAGGATTGGTTCATCATGGCTGACGGTCTGAATTCCAGAGTAAAATGATGAAGCAAGATTGTCACAAACTTCCGTTTTATTACGATTAAAGAGCACTCAAACACTCTTCAGAATCAGCAAATTCGTTTGTTTTATTGGATTATGAACTTGGATGACGTCAACTGCCTTCTTTGCCCTCAATGCTCATTTTGTCACTTTCCACCTTAGCAAATATCTTTTGAATGGTTGATGTTTTTGCTGCAGAGCAAATTCAATAGCATTTTTCTCGCAAAATGCAATGCTTTATTCACATACGAAATGCTTTTTGATCAATTTATTGTAAACTAACACAAGTTGATTCACGCAAAAATTCTATATCTCATTTACTAATAGTTGATCAATTTCCAAATTTGTATACGTATCTTTTAAAAGTGTGGGCTGACTAGAAATCATATAGATGGTATTAGTAGTCCTCTAATTTATTTGGAAATCGCGGAAGTATCTAAGCTTCGTCCTCAGCCAAACTCTCTTTATAATAAAGATTACAAGTTTTACGAATTGCAAAAATTTAAAATTTTATATATCTTACCTATTTGTTTTTTATGAAGTTTTAAGCAACCTAATTTACGTTAGGAACAAAATTTAAAATAAAATTTGTAGATCAGTTTTACAAGAAAAGAAAGAACTAAAGACAGGGGTACTTTTCAAATTATATTTATACTTATCTTAAAAATATTTTATTTTAAAACATTAGTATTTTCCTAAATATCTAATCAAAATAATTATAATGTAAACCACTAGAATTTAGTATACCACTTGCTGAATCAGCTGGCACATAGGTGGAGTCCGGTGGGAATTTAACAGAGCTGCGCTTTAAGGATTGACGTTGCTTTGACTCGTGGCAATGTGTAGCATACCTCAACTCTTCAGTCATTTCAGAACACAAAGTTTGCGTTTCGGTCAGTTGTAGCGTTTTTTTAGAATTCCAACAAAACTCAAAAATGGCAACAACAACTGCTAAAGCTAAACCACATAGTAAGACTACGAAAACACCTCCTTTAATGAACGATTAATTTGTTAGTGTGTAAATAAATATATTATTTTAATCTAATTTTACCAATGTTTTCTACTCCCAATGCATTTGCTTTCGATTCCTTACTTTTTTCATCCCGATTGCAAACGTCACCAGTATTTTTCCACCATTTATCATATAATATTTGTATGATCCCTTTTTCTTGTAATTCCAAGATTGCTAATGACATAGGATCGCGCCATTGTGAACCTTTTGGCGTGGCAATTCCATAACCTTTTGAATCGAGAAGCCCGCCTATTTGTGTTAAGTTACAGTCTCGCTGTACTGCGTAATCCAGCATTGTTGATTCCATAAGAAAGGCATAATTTCCTTCTATGACACGCTTAATTCCTTCTTCATACGTCTTTACAAACACCGCAGAATGTCGTGTTTCCATATAGTGCCACATTTTTTGGTAAGTATCAATTTTAGAATCCTATAAAACAGAAAAGCAAAATATTACTAATAATTGTTAAATTTTAATGTAAAGAAATAAATGCCAACAAATACAACTTATATTCCCAAATCATAATGCCAATATTTTTAACGCCCCCGCATATGTTAGTCCCTTATACGAACGAGTTGAAAACCAAACTCTATGCATACATTGCGTGTTTTATTGTTTTCTGCGTAAATAAAAAGATTTCTTGCTTTTAACACAATAGAGCGTGGCAAAAGCAAAAGGTATGCCGGCTTCTGAAACTCTATATAGCTTTTACAACTGTTAAATGTTAAATTAAATTTAAATTTAAAATTTATTTAACTTCTTCTT